GTAACCGTGCGGTTATTTCTACCGTACGTTTAACCTGAGTATCAGGCCTTCGAGGGGCCCTGGGGAAGAGAGGGAAAAAAAAAGAAGAACCTCTCCCTTTTTCCTTCTCCTTCCGTCCCCCCTGATACTCAGGTTACTGTCCCCCCCTGATACTCAGGTTACTGTCCCCCCTGATACTCAGGTTACTGTTCCCCCCTGATACTCAGGTTACTGTCCCCCCCTGATACTCAGGTTACTGTCCCCCCCTGATACTCAGGTTACTGTATGTTTCCCACTCATACGAAATTGACTCTAGTTTTGAAGGAGCACAAAATGAGTGACAGAGGATGCTTCTGAGTTCCGGAGGATGTTCATGTTACAATATAGCCCCCTCAACAGTTTCTTAAGCTAACTTGGAACTGTAACTGTGACTTTCTATTGCAGCAAGATAACTGGTGAGAGTCCAATGATAGCAAGTGAATACCAGTTGCCTATGGGTGTGGAAGGAGGCTTTTATCATAATTGCTTACTGGTTACACTGCCTTCAAAATATAGTGTAGAAAACTGTGAAAGAGAATGCTATATRCATTCAATGTGTGCTGGATATCTTGCTCCTAATACTCCTCTTTGAACTGCCTATGACTAGTAATCTTTTTTTTCAAAATATTAGATGTTTTACTTACAGACAACGTAGTTCCGTTTGATTCTCCAAATTTTCAATAGTGTCTATYCCATTGCTTTCTAGCCAAAGACACTTGAGACCTGTGTAGTCATCTAGATTCTCAATTTTCGCAAATCCTGGTAAAAAAGGAAACTAGGCTTTATCATGGATAATAAAAAATATTATCCATGGCTTTATGCAATAGTCAATTTAAGATTCCAGGCTCAAACGAGCGTTAAGGCTGATTTACACGGCACGATTGTCTCGTGCGATTTGTAGTATACGACTTGAATTGCGCCGTGTAAATACCCTTTGACTTGTCTACAGCAGTCGTACGCAACCTACGACTTGTAGTAGGATTTTGAACCACTGCTTAAAATCCTACGACTTGTAGTAGGAAAATCGTATACTACAAGTCGCGCGCGACAAATCGTACCGTGTAAATCAGCCTTTAAAATCCCTGCTCTATGCCCCGCGTCAAAAACAAGTCCTTCCTACTTTATTGTTACTGTATATTGTTAGTCAAAGTTTTATTCAAGTGAAATTGAAACCATGTTTTTGTGAGTATTAAATTTGACTTCACTTGGCATCCAACATAGCCTCCTCTGCAGGCAACCCTTGTATCTTCCTCTTTGGTCTTCCTTTGTTATCCTGAGGAGAGGGGACTGGGTCCCCGGCAAGAAATCCTTTTTTCGCCACAGGAAGCCCAAAAAGCCAAAAGCGAGTAGAGTTGCCTGCGGATGAGGCTACATCCAACAGTTGTGATGAAAAGATACAAATTGCGAAAAACGTAAGCTTACTGACGCTTTGCATGATGGTCCTTCCTTGATTTACACGCTCATGTCGCGTGATATGGTACCATGCCTGATGATTACGTATGCACGATTATAGACCAGAGCTAACACCAATGTTAGGCCAGGGCAAAGTGATTTTAATCCGGTTAATGAATAACGTTCCTGGCGAGACAGCAGTGGCTGGTACAACATTAGGACAGCGGTAATAAATTCAGCAACAACCGCTTGAGTAACGATCATTTGGATGATTTCGTAAAATCAAGTGCTTTTTAGTGTCTAAGACGACATTTCAGTGTATATTTCAGATAAGTAAAACTTTAYAATTTATTATCGACTATCTTATGTTGGATAAATTAAGCAATTTTTGGATCTTATAGGTCATAATTTCAGTTCTAGCGCCCTTGATCAGAGCTATCTGGAATTAATGTTTTTTGCTTGGAATGACAATTTGTGATACACTGTAGATCATGCCGGAAGTCCATCTATTTTTGTAGTTACTCCTGTTCTTCAAAGACGCGATACCGACAAAACCGGTTCTAAACCAGTTTAAAAAGGGCTATTGATGTGGCATATGAATATGAAGACCGCATGGCACTATTGACGTGGCATAGCTACAGCAGGTGCAGCGTCAAGCCGGAAGATTAGAACATAGTTGGTAGTTGTTGGAGATGTCATCCTCTATTAACTAATAGATAGAAGAAGTACG